CAATTTTTACAAATCAATTCTAATTATTTCTAAATGCGTTTATCAATATAGCAGGGCAATGAAAGATTGTGATATTGATACAATACCTTTTTCTTTTTCCTAGCCTTAGCTTCTGCCAATTTCTTAATTGGTCTCACATTAATGGCTTTAAGTCTCTCCCTGTATTCCTGGACATCTTGCTGTTTGAAATAATACACTTTCAATGTTAATTAAAACTATAAGAAAACATAGTAAAAATCATTTTATTTATTAGTTTTAATATTTACATGTCAATTATGATATTAAGAGTCAGACCAGTTTTCATTTTTTTACTCACACTGATCAGCACTTCAAGAATCAAGCTTTTTCTTAAAAAAGAAACTTTTTGTCATTTAGAAATATACCTTTGTCACTGGTAGTTGTTTTCTAATGTGCTTGGCTTCATCCTTTACAAACCAATCTGGGAGGTTTTCATCATTAAATGTGTACCTGAAAACAATTTCAATATTTCAATAACAATTCTAAAGTATATAAAATGGGCCAGTGTCCTATGAATGCTCTTTGTGGGTGTGTGTGAAGGTTATTCATAACAAGCATAATTATCCAACATATTAAGGAGGGAGGCAAAGGAATTCGAATCACCACTGTCAGCACTTAATGTCTGTCACTTTGGAGAGTAAACTCAGATCAGAGAAGCGATAACACCGCTGGGTATTGTACCACCAACTGAAATAAGCCCATTCGCATGGAAAACAAAAACAAAAAAAAGGGGGGGAGGGCACCACCTCCCGCATTGTGCTTGACAAGCTCTATAAAATGCAGTTAACAAGAGTTCTCTTTTTTTTTTGTAGAAAATTACAATTTATAACAAAAGGGTGCATTGCAATGAGTGCCACACCCAGACCAATGCACCAACAAAGCCCAAAACTTACATGGATCAAGTTGCGATTATATGTGACCTACACCCAAGAGATGGGTATACAGTCTTATGGTCTAAGAGGTGACGCTGTAATCGTGACGATGCGACTGAGCCAGCATAGCCAGTGGACAAGACAGGTTAGGACTAAAATGGTGGTGGTAAATTATGGTACATGTATTACCATGCATTGTGTAAATTGCACTTAACTGATTTTGTGCATGTTGAAAATCATAAGGAAATATTTTGGTGGGCAAATTATCTCATATTTTAAATGGCTCAAACAACTTTATTCTTTAAATGGCAGTGTTATTGTTTGCTTATAGAGATGCAACTGTTTTTGGATTAGCTATGAAGGAGGAAGTTGCATTACACATCTCACAATCACCTGATTGTAGAGGATCTTTTAAGACACATCTGAAGATCATGACAGTCTTCTGGATTACTTTGGGCAACTGGGCCTACTGCATTTTATGACATTTTGTAAAACTTTGCAGCTTCTAAATATACCTGTTATAAGCTTGGTTTATGATTTCTCTTCTCTTCTTCCCTGATTGTATCATTTTGGCACCAATAGCCAATCCTACAGGATCTAGTCTTGGAATTTTATGTGCTGAAAACATTTAAACAGAGAACACTTAAGACATTATGGCTATGACATTATAATGATATCACTAATATGTCACACTTTCATGTTAAGTTACAAGCACGAACTAGAAACAAAAATCAACTGTACCCACCATATAACAAGGGGGGAAAAAGACAAAAAATAAGTATTAAAATTAAAGTTTGTTCTTTGACGATGTATTAAATAGTTCGTACTTCGATCAACAATAATAAGAAATAGCTTTTTATTCTTCATAGTGTGAACTATACAATTTCAAATGTAAACCACAAATAACTAACCAGGTTCTACAACTGGAACGACTTCAAAGTCATCTTGTCCATGAGAAGCCTTTCCAATCATCTTTTCTCCTGATTTTTTGTTTACCAGAACGGATTTATTTACATCATAATCACTTGCATCAGAATCTGCATCAGAATCTGAACTTTCATCAGTTTCTTCATCACCACTCCTGTTTTCTCTTACTGCATTATCAGAGTCACTGTCATGGCCAGAATCTGAATCCTGTTGTTTGGTTTCAAACTCCATATCACTGTCTTCTAAATCCTCATGTGATTTTTCCTTTAGTTTTCTTTTTTGTTTTCCCCTTCCTACAATATTCAAAGCAAACCATTAAGAATGTACACCTGGTATATATATATATATATATATATATATATATATATATATATATATATATATATATATATATATATATATATATATATAGGCAACTCAAATGACACACATACTGTCACTTTTCATAACTGATCAAATATTTCTGATTCACAATAGTATCTAAGACAGTGAGGATCAAAAAGTGTTTTATTATACAAGTAATGTATCCAGAAAAAAGATAGGAGAACCCGGAATTTCCAAAAAAAAAAAAATTCTGCCCCCTCAGACATGGGGAAACTGCCTGGCCTTGAAATTCTAGAGGAGCTGCAAGATTCATGTGAAAATGCAATACATGATAATAAATTTCTGATAGTATACCAAATAGTATACCAAATTCTACATGATAATAAATTTCTGATAGTATACCAAATAGTATACCAAATTCAAGTATAGGCCCCTGTGGGAACACACCAAATCAGCATGTCCGCATTTTTATAAATCCCCCGGCCCTACCGGCCCCTTAAATGGTGGCAGAAGAGGATAATTGTGGTGATGGGTGTAATCTGTAAGTCGCATGGGCATCTGGAGTAATTCTTAAGCCATGCTTGACTTGCTTGTAACATAGACAGAAACTCAACAACTGAATGTGAAATCCCCCCTAATGACAAATACAAAGGTTACGTCTGGCGAGGAAAGCATTTCTGTTGACCATTTTAGTTCCCTCGGGGTCCAGTACAATAATTTTGTTCCAGACTAATTAATCACATGTAAACATAGTCTAGCGAAAATAAAATACTTAGTTTGGACCAGCACAGAATTTGGAGGACAAACAGATTTCTTTCATTACAAGTCCACCGTACCTTCAGCATCTCCAAAGTTTTTCCCAAAAAACTAAAGAGCGAGTGTTTCTCACAATCACAACTGTAAAATACCCAAAACTACAAAATGTAAATGTTCTTCAATAGCTGGGGAAGCAAGGCATTTAAATAATGGGCATCATCCCCTCCCTGTATTCTTAAAATCCTGGGGAGGCTAGTTTCACTTGACTTTGTATTCCTAAAGTTTACCTAAAATGACTCCTCCTTTTTTAGTATACTCTTCAGTCATTCTTGCTATTTCTAAATCTTCATCTTGGTTGTCATCAATGCCACTGAAAATGGCCTATGAAAAAGGTTGCAGTATCAACTTAAATGTCATTTAAAATAGAAGTGCAGTCTATCACTCATTCCAAGTAAAAAAATGCTGTAGAAATTGCACTTAAAAAATGGAACATAACTGCTACAAACCAAACAAACAGTGGATTTTCAAACAAAAACTTGAATTTGTATCTTGAAAACAATCAACAATTAAATGCATGTTATTTTCTTTAAAAATGCAGATTCCACACATTCTATTTACCTTTTTAAACCAATTATCTGTTCTCCTGTTTGTTTTACTACCTCTGTCTTCAAGGTCCACCACCAAAGGGTTTTGACTTTTCTCATCTAATGCACTGAGCACATAAATAAAGGCAACAAAATGTATCAAAAAGTATTTTCACACAAAATACACACAAATTGTTACTTCCCCTTTGACATGCACTTTTCATAATTTGTTTTACTTGTGTTCAAAATGCATTCATCTTTTCACACAGGTGCAATCCAAACTTGTTTAGAATCACACAGGGATCAATTGGGTATAAGACCTTACCTATTTGGTTCATCATCATCTTCATCACTATCAGATTCTTCTTCTTGTTCAGCTTTACCTTCTGTGTCGTCATAATAATCCTTTGAATCATCACGGTCATATGATACAGTCTGTCGATAATTCTTAGGTAATACAATATCAGAGCCATCATAAGAATCTTCTTCTTCAACAATGTCCCCTTTCTCCAGCTCTGATAATTGCTGCAAATAAATAGTGATACTTTAAGTAAGTCATCAATAGAGATAATCTTGTATAATTTCCAATAAAATTCACTCTTGACGTGATCACCCATTTAGGTTGTTTAAAAAGAAAATGTTTCCATTGTTTATTGTTGTTGTTGTTAAATTCCTTGGAGATGGAACAACAGCAGTGGAATTTAATACAAAAATCAAATATAGATTTACATTTAATTATTCTTGACAGTTGTGATGTACTAAAATTGTCAAAACTTACCTAACAATCCTATTGTTACCTTATGACTATTTTACTAATTCATCAACCAATCAAAAAAACATGATATCCTTAATTTCACTATCTGATGAAGATTTTGAAACAATTAAAATGTGTTTTAACCCTCACTGCTATGGATTTTCAATTTAAAAAAAAAATGACAAAAATTTTTTTAAAAAGTCTATTCCACAGGAAAGTCAGGGTGCCCACCTCCTTTGATTTTATCTTGTTTAATTTAAAAAGCTCCAAATCATCTGACATATCTATTTTGTCACCAGGGATGATCATTTTAAGATCCATCTTGTGTCTCAGTTTGGATTTTTCTTTTCGGACTTTCTTCTCTTTCCTAAAATAAACAAACCTGTGATAAACACAAAGAAAATATTTAAGGAACATCCACTTCGAGACTAAGGCAAGCTTAAAATGATTACCTTCTCACAGCCATCACTGAAAACAACAGGAGGCTCAAATGATTTGTTTTTCTCTGAAAAAAGTGTCACAGTTTGTTTTTATAGGTTAAAAAACAAACTACTGTGTAATAGATTTAATTTATTTCACCTGTAGATAGAGAATGAAGTATATGTACAACAGCTCTGGTCAGGTACAAAAGAGAGAGTGAAAAAGGGCGCGGCAAACGACTAGGATCACGTGAAGACCATTCTCATCACATGGAAGAACCAACCAATCAACGCCCACCAAAGACAAAGAAAGAAAGAAAAAATAGATAAATGGATATGGTGAAAATACATGAAATGGGACTTCATACACCGTCACAAAAGAATTAGACAACTCTTTGTTACCATACCTTTTGGGGATATAAGAGAGCATGTGTTCCACAGACTCATCCATTTTTCCAATAAAATTCAAAAAATTTCCAATATTTTCACTGAATACAAATCCTATTTTACTCCACTTATTGCCATTCCTTTTTACATCTATATTTGATTACTTGATAATTTTTTTTATATACGAAGCTTTTATCTTTATGGAGATGGTAAAAATACAAATCATACATCTTTTTTCTTGGCAGTCAGGAAAAAATATAGGTTAAAGCAGTAATTCACCAGAATCTTGAAATGAACCTTGAACTATCTGAATCCATAGTCTACAAGGCTCTAATACCACAAAAACTAGGTTCAGATACAGACCATGTGGACAAAGACACAAGAATATGACTATATAAGCTGGTGGTACTAATTAATACTTAAAATTTTGTTTATTCTAGGGTCCAATTCATTTATTTTCTTTGTAATGCATGCTATTTTTGGAAACTATGGTACAGATTAGAGCACACACACCTCAATCAAGGAGCAAATCAAATTTGAGGATGATGAAATCAATAGGTGGCACATGGTGAGGCATTGGAAACCAAAACTTACTTATAGCCTTATTAATTTACTAAAATAAACCAAACAATTGTGATGGGGTTTGAGGTCTGATCTCATTTATTTTTTGTTACCATATCCACTTTTCATATTGCACCAATATTCCTATCTCTTTCTTTCTTTCACGTGACTTTATCTTTGGCAGGCACTTATCATCTCCTCTGATTGGTTACTACTGTTACATGGTCAGACTGTTTTCTTTCACCTGATCAGAGCTGTTTGTCGCACCCTTTGCTCATTCAGTAATTGGTGACTGACCAAAATGGTCATGCAGATCTCTTCATTTTTATTTCCTTTCTACAGGTGAGCTATTTATTCAAGTACAATTGCCTTGATACATAGTTATTTATTAAGTTTTATTAAACGGTGTATTTATTTTATTAGTTATTTTATTAATATTAAGTGCTTTATTCGCTGTAACATAGACTCATTCTGTAATTGGTGACTGACCAAAATGGTTGTGCAAATCTCTTCATTTTTATATCTTTTCTACAGGTGAAATAAAATACATCTATTACACAGTTTCACATTGAGTGTTTTTATCAATAGAAGCAATCTGTGACACAAATACTGAGTGAAATTACATGCTACCTTTTCTGTTCCTTTTTCTGCTCATCTTGGAGTTCAGAGAGCTGTTGCTCTACTTTAACATCATCATCATCATCTTCATCTTCCTCAATTGTTTCCACAGCACTGAAAGAGGTATTTTAATCCACTTAATTAAAAAAGATCTAAATATATATTAAACATACTATAAGGAATACTTGGCATAAAAAAGACATGAACCTGATTATTTTCAAAAACATCTTTTGGTTTTATCAATGTTAAAAAAAATTATCAAAACTAATAAAAAAGGATGACAAATTGAATGTGTTCTTTCAAAACTTACCCAGTTACTTTATTTTCTTCTGGATGAAATTCTTTTCTTAATTTGTTTCTCCAAGTGATTAAAGATCTGATATTAAAATGGGAAAAATGAATTTTCACATTACAGAATCATATATATATATATATATATATATATATATATATATATATATATATATATATATATATATATATATATATATATATATCAGGCAAGACTGAAATCCAACCAGATTTTAAACTGCCTAGGCAAATGTTGAAATTGAAATCTTACCTATAGATATAGCTTTCTTTCATTATTTCATGGAAGCAGGTCTACAAAAAAAAAAAAAAAAAAAAAAAAAAAACCTTCCCCTAAAAGAAAACAATTACTTTACCTTTTGTCCAGTGAACAGATGGTTTGGGGGCTCCATTGGCTTCACATGGGAACCGTGCATCTTGGCCCTCCACAATGGAGATATTCCTTGGACTCCTCACAAAAACTGGCGCAGAACCTAGGCACGGGATCATTAGCATGGAATTAATGGCTAATACAAGTAACAAAAGTCTGCTCATACCTTATTCTTTGCTGTATTAGAACAATTATGTATAATAATGTGTGCTGTTGGTTCTAATCTCCCTTGCTTCTGAAATATCATTCAAAGTGTATGATAGTTTACACCCATACTTAGGGGTTAAACCACAACTATCAGCTATGTTTCCAATGATCAAATTGAATTCCTCTGCAATGAACTAGTCTTTGAGCAGAGCCCCTGCATTAGATTTCCTAATCAATCTACACAATAAAGCCGAGAGATGAACTTCTAAATGACTGTGCACGCATAAATATGATAACCAATTTCTTCAGCATGAATTCCAACTGGCAAGATAATGTCTTTCTAAATTAGCCACATCAATTCAATTGATTTTCATCTGAAAACTCAAGGGATTACTTTTTTTGTCAAATTACAGGTGTATTGATGGTGCATAAACACAGCTTATCTCAAAACTTAATGCAAAGCACTGTGCAGGTGAATATGATCCTGTCAGCATTTCTGTGATTTTTTTTTACCTGAACAGGTGATTGTAGCAAAGAGATCTAATTCCTCCACTTAACACTTATCCTTTTGAATTGCCCCTAACCATGGTAAAGAGTTATAACAGCTGTTCTGTAACCAATCTACAGAAGTATTCAGCAGAATTGTATACACTTACTGTACTGTGGCTTATGATGTAAAAAACATTTCTTCCCCATTTAGTATCTTTGTTGAAGCAAGACTATATATTTTTACATCCTTTGTACAATTGCCTCATTGCATAATAGTTCGACTTCAAATATTTTCAATGGTGTGCAGTTTGAAGAAATTAACCAAGCATTAAAATAATACTGTGCCTTAAAAACACCTACAAGTAAATGGCGATGATAAATACATAACATGGCTAACGTTAATATTGCTATTACACAAAGATGGCAACAGTTTAATCATAGATTGTACTCTATACAGTGCCAATTTCCCTTTCAATAAATTACACGTCAACCTAAAATGGTCCTTATCTAGAGCTCCTCTGCAAACAACGTGGATGCCAAAGTTGCCAAAAGATAACAGACGCTTTTCAAACAATGCCAAAACTTCCAATGCTGTATATACTGTAATATCTTTGACATCTAAATACACCAAACATTTGCAATAAAAACATGAAACTTTGGCACTAAAAGAGGATTAAGATATCAGAAGTGGGGTTTCCAGTAATACGCTGAATCAACCTAACCCAGTTTAACCCACCTCAGACAGCAAATATTTAAGCACTAAACTTACCTGGATTACAATAGAAATAGATAAGACATAAAAGGGACTGTATTTTCTGTCTATTGCATTTTATCAAAATGAGTTTTCGTTCAGTTGGGTCATTCAAGATAGGAGGACCCAATTTGTCTGGAATCGTGACTTAAATCCTTCTTAATCTTCATGACGTAAGTGCTACACAAACATTCACAAATTTTCTTTTAATTTCTCTTCCTACATAACAATCTATATTCAAACAAACTTACTTTGAACCTGCAGCCAAACTGCAAAGTTGATGGAATTGGCCATGTTAGATGCAAAACACTGAAACATCCCTGCATCATCTGGATCCAATCCATTGATCTTCAGTGATCCAGATGCCTGAGGCTCAAACCTAAAATCAAGAAAAGATAAGTGACACACTGTCTTGACAGAAAGTTGAAACTTTTTCACAAAAAGTTTCATGTTAATACTATGACTTCAAACACAAATAGACTAGGTGATCTTTTCTATTTAGCAAAGTTTCTAATAAAAGAAAATATTTAGAAAAAATTAATAAATTAAGAGAATATATCTTTTTTGTAAATATACATTGGCAGACTTTTTTAAGACAGAATGTTCATTGACAAACAACTTGCTCATATGTAAACATCAAGTGAGATAAGCGACCTATTTGTGAGATTATGTACCTTGGATTATTCAGAGTCTGTATGTCAACTCCATTCTTGTACCAAGACAGAGTTGCCCCTGAATTACCAGTGTAGTTGCACAGAATGTAAACAGTCTCACCAAAATCTTTAGATAGGACTGAGGGAGAAAGGTTACCAAATCTCAGCAAGCCTGAAAAAAAATGCATATGACACCTGCTCATTATGTACTGTTATAAATAAAAACATAAATAATCATGCATAATTCAGTACAATGCAGACAATATTTACATAATGCACCACAACTTTTTACCCCTCAAATCAATTGATAATAAAGACAGTTGAACTTTTCCGTGTAAGATAAACAGTTATATTGCTTATCCAACAGACAGCATGCTCAGTCTGCTGTTGTCTGGGATCAAAATCACAATACCAACAAGTAGCAGTGTTTCTTGGAAATGCCACAGAGTGCACAAGCCCCTGATGCTAAATGCCATCATTTGCAGCAATTTTAACAACCTTTTGACCTTATGCTTTTTTATATAATCTCTTTGATGTCCAACCCACCACTCAAGGTGTTAAACACAACTCTAGCATTATTGAAAGATGACATGGGTGTGACATGGGGTGTGGGGGGTGGGGGTGGGGTGCTACCTGAAGATTGGACTAAAAAGTTTTTGTAACAACTTGTCAGAGTTCATCATTAACCACAATATACATCTCAAGTGATAAAACTTCACAGTGGATACTGTGTATCTAAGTTAACACAAACAGTTCTACTTATGACCACAATATTTTAGATTTAGGTAAAAGGAAAGTTAATACTTATCTCCAAAAAAAATCAGTAGAATAAAAGCTTTTCGACAATACTTAATATTAATGAACAAAAGAAAACCATGCCTACAGTGGTTTGAGCCAGAATAGCTAACCAAATCCAGAACCCCAGACAGCTTAAAATGAGATGTAAAATCATAGCAAAATAAAGGTCCCTTTGGAGTCTGGTGACGCAAGTTGCACTTTTCCACTGAAGATAGTCCACTTCTGGGTGTGG